ACAGATCCATGGCTAACATTTGAGCAGATTGACAAGTTGAATGCCCGCCCTCTGCTCTTATCCTCTTCCAACCCATTGGCCCGCCCAGGTGTTGTCACGTTCCACTGCTGCTTCCACAGACAGGTGATGTCCACAAAGTCTGTGAGTGAGTGATTCAAAATGTCTTGTATGGTCGCTGACAGAACTCATGATGGGTAAAAACACTGTCGTCTTGCATGGCTTTAAGTATTCCGGCACCGTGCCGGATTTCCGGTGTGCGGCACTTGGCTCTGAAAAAAAAAATCGAGTTTGTGAAGTCGCCGGCCGTAGTCGGGGGGTGTTGTCATCGTCGTCCCGGGAAGCAAATGCTGCTAATGGGTCGCTGCGAATACGCCAGCGAATAGCAGCGTTAGCAGCGAAGACAACGGTACTGAAACTCCGTTGCAGCTTGTTGTTAAATATTTTCCCGTTACGTACCCTTGAAAACAACGTATCGGCCCAATTTGCAGCGTAGTTTTTTCAGGCAGCTGCGTAACGGGCCGTTACTCTGTTGTGACACTGGCAAGAACCTTGTATGCAATTCTTCTTATTATTGCTATTATTACTATTTGGATAATTTGTTTAATGACTGGATGCTTGTTCACATACGGGGATTCCCACTGATAGCCAATCAGAATGAATGTAACAGAAGGTCGCTGTATACCGGAGCCGCTATACTGGGCTGCAGGGCTGAACGGGGTGAAAGCGGCGGACCGGTATATGTAGAGGGCTATAGTGTTGAAAGGGTTAAGTGGAGACGGCAAGCCCTTTGGTTGCTGGTGCAAAAAAATTGAACGAGCCCGGTGCTTGCTTCTGTACCATCTGCTCAAAAAAACTCCTGTACGCAACTAGCGGCAAAACAGTGCTGTCAGATCAGGAGGCAGAGCCCGGCCACAGAGCTGCTGTCTGCTCTGAAACTCACACCTCGTTTGCCAGGAGCAGCAGCCACCGCTGAGGTACCGGCACCAATGACTGACCGGGTTTGTGATTTAAAAATACGCGTGTGCACGTTCATTGCAGAACATGACTTGTCCGTCAACATATCTCAGCCACTTGTTAATCTGTAAAAAGTTGGCTGAAGATAAAAATGCTTTGTCAAAACTGTTTGTGTCAAGTCAGCTGGTTACATAAATACACATGATATAGCACCAGCATTTCAGAAAAGTCTTTCTGAGAAGCTCAAAAGATTTGTGGTTTGGCTGCAAAGTGTCTCAGTGGTTAGCACCGTGGCCTCACAGCTAGAAGGTCGCCGGTTCACATCCCGGTGAGGAC